ACTATGCATTAAGAACTGAACAACCCCAACCTCTCAATGCGGATAGCACTCCTGATGCAAAGAAGGAGCATGAGAAGTGGGAGCGTTCAAATCGCATGAGTCTTATGATCATTAAGCGCGGCGTTCCGGAAGCCTTCAGGGGCATAGAATCCGAAGGGATTACTAAGGCTAAAGATTTCCTTGCCGAAATTGAGAAGCGTTTTGCGAAAAACGATAAGGTAGAAACAAGCACGCTTTTAGCTCGCTTGATTTCAATGAAGTATAAGGGCAAAGGAAATATCAGGGAGTACATTATGGAAATGTCTCATATTGCTTCAAAGCTTAAGGCACTTAAACTCGATCTTTGTGACGAGTTATTAGTGCATCTGGTTTTGTTGTCTCTTCCTGCACAGTTTAACCAATTTAAGGTCAGTTATAACTGTCAAAAGGAGAAATGGACTCTAAATGAGCTCATTTCATACTGTGTGCAAGAAGAAGACAGGTTGAAGCAAGATAAGACAGAAAGTGCTCATTTGGCCTATGCCTCTAAGGATAAGGGCAAGAAAAGGAAGAATGATAAGGAAGCTGCTAAGGGTCCAGTTGAGAAGAAACAACATAAGGATAATCAGGGTTGTTTCTTCTGTAAGAAGCCTGGACATGTAAAGAAGGACTGTACAAAATATCACGCCTGGCGTGATAATAAGGGTACGTTCCTTGCTTTGGTCTGTTCTGAGGTTAATTTAGCTTCAGTACCTAGAAACACTTGGTGGTTAGACTCTGGTGCTACTACTCACATAAGTGTTTCTATGCAGGGTTGCCTGAGCTACCGAAAGCCAAGTGATGTTGAAAGACACATCTTTGTGGGCGACGGACAATCGGTAGATGTGGAAGCAATTGGGCACTTTAGGTTGTTGTTAGGAACTGGTTATTATTTGGATTTAAAAGATACTTTTGTAGTACCGTCTTTTAGACGGAATTTGGTTTCTGTTTCTGTATTGGACAAATCAGGTTATTCTTGTTCATTTGGAAACAGTCAATTCAGTTTATCTTTTAATTCAAATGTTGTGGGAACCGGTTACTTGAGTATTTATGACAACCTATATTTGCTTGATACAATTGCTTCTTACAATGAATCCTTGCATGTGGAATCACGTGGTACTAAGCGTAAATTAAATAAGGAAAATTCGGCGACATTATGGCATAAGCGCTTAGGTCATATCTCAAAAGGTAGAGTTGAGCGTCTTGTGTCTGATGGCATTTTGGATTCCCTTGATTTTTCGGACTTCGACGTATGTGTTGAATGTATCAAGGGAAAACAGACCAAAGTGAAGAGATTAGGTGCCAACAGATCTTCGGATGTCTTAGAATTGATACATACGGATATTTGTGGGCCATTCCCTACGGAATCCTGGAATGGTCAACAATATTTTATATCATTCATAGACGATTACTCACGTTATGGGCACCTATATCTTATTCATGAAAAATCTGAGTCTCTGGACATGTTCAAAGCCTATAAAGCTGAAGTTGAGAATCAACTCAACAGAAGAATTAAAACCGTCAGATCTGATCGTGGTGGTGAGTACTACGGTAGATATGATGGTTCAGGTGAACAACGTCCAGGACCATTTGCTAGATACCTAGAGGAATGCGGTATCGTCCCACAGTACACTATGCCGGGTTCACCTAGCATGAATGGTGTAGCTGAAAGACGAAACAGGACTCTTAAGGATATGGTAAGAAGTATGATTGCTCATTCTTCTTTACCAGAGTCACTCTGGGGAGAAGCACTTAAGACAGCAGCTTACATTCTGAATAGAGTACCAAGTAAAGCAGTTGCTAAAACACCTTATGAGCTTTGGACTGGTCGAAAGCCCAGTTTAAAGCATTTACATATTTGGGGATGTCCAGCTGAGGCAAGGCCTTATAGGCCAAATGAAAAGAAATTGGACTCCAAAACAGTTAGCAGCTACTTTATTGGGTACCCTGATCGCTCTAGGGGCTATAAGTTTTATGATCCCACTATAAGGAATATTTTTGAGACGGGAACAGCAACATTCTTTGAGGATGTTGAGTTTGGGGGGAGAAATAAGGTTAGAGACATTAGTTTTGAGGAGGAATTGGCTTCAGATCCAATCCATACAGTTACTTTTGACAATATTCAGGTTCCTATACCTGTTGTTGCTCAAGAAGTAAATCCGGAACCTCAAGATGATAATGTTGAACAACTCCCTGTTCCAGAAGAACAAACTCAACAACCTCAAGAACCAGTGCCATTAAGGAGATCCACGAGAGAAAGGAGAAATGCTATTCCGGATGATTATATTGTATTTCTCCAAGAACATGAGGAAAGTAGTGGAATGTTAGAAGATGATCCAATCAACTTCTCTCAGGCCATGAAAAGTTCTAACTCTCAACAGTGGATTGATGCCATGAATGAAGAGTATAAGTCTATGCAAGACAATAAGGTTTGGGAACTTGTCCCATTGCCAGAAGGTGCAAAACCAATTGGTTGTAAATGGATTTTTAAAACCAAGCGGGATGCAAACGGTAATGTGGAGAGGTATAAGGCGCGTCTTGTGGCTAAAGGCTATACTCAAAAGGAAGGCATTGATTATACAGAGACTTTCTCTCCGGTTTCATCGAAAGACTCTTTCAGAATAATCATGGCACTTGTTGCTCATTATGATCTTGAGTTACATCAGATGGATGTTAAGACTGCATTTCTCAATGGAGACATTGATGAGATGATTTATATGGTGCAACCAGAAAACTTTGTGTCAGGAGACCCAAAGAATATGGTTTGCAAATTAAGGAAATCCATCTATGGACTCAAGCAAGCTCCTCGTCAATGGTATCATAAGTTTCAACAAATAGTTATCTCGTTCGGTTTTGAGATGAACATTGTTGATGACTGTGTATATCACAAGTTCAGTGGGAGTAAGTATATTTTTCTGGTTCTGTATGTGGATGACATCTTGCTTGCCACTAATGATATAGGCATGTTGCACGAAACCAAGAGATTTCTATCAAAGAATTTTGAGATGAAAGATCTTGGGGACGCCTCTTTTATATTAGGGATCCAGATACATCGAGATCGCTCTCGGGGTATTCTTGGATTATCACAAAAGAGCTATATCGATAAGGTACTTAAAAGGTTTGGCATGCAAGATTGCAGACCAGGTGACACCCCTGTTGCTAAAGGAGACAAGTTTAGTCTCAATCAGTGCCCTAAAGGTAACCTTGAAATTCAGGAAATGCAGAAGATTCCTTATGCTTCGGCTGTAGGAAGTCTAATGTATGCTCAGGTATGTACGCGTCCGGATATTGCGTACATTGTTGGGATGTTAGGCAGATACTTAAGCAACCCTGGTATGGATCATTGGATAGCAGTCAAAAGGGTTATGAGGTATCTTCAGAAAACAAAAGATTACATGCTCACATACAGAAAATCAGAGAAATTAGAGGTCATTGGGTATTCGGACTCTGATTTTGCTGGATGCCAAGATAGCAGGAAGTCTACATCAGGCTACATTTATATGTTAGCAGGAGGAGCTATATCATGGAAAAGTGTCAAACAAACACTAGTAGCTTCCTCCACTATGGCAGCAGAATTTGTAGCTTGCTATGAGGCATCCAATCAGGGAATATGGCTGCGAAATTTTGTCACGGGACTGCGCATTTTGGAAAATGTTGAAAGACCACTAAGGTTATATTGTGACAATAAATCTGCAGTAATGTATTCCAATAACAACAGGAGCTCAACTAAGTCAAAACATATTGACATTAAGTTCCTGGTTGTGAAAGAAAGGGTACAGAGTGGACAGATATCCATAGAGCACATTGGGACAAACTCCATGTTAGCTGATCCTCTTACTAAGGGATTGCCACCTAAGGTCTTTCATGAGCATACTGCTCATATGGGTGTGGTATTATTTGAGGATATTATGTTTTAGTGGGAGTTTGTATTTGTGGTGCTTTATGTTTGTTTGTATTGTCTGATCAGAATAAAGTTTTCAGTTAAGACACTCTGTTACATTATGTTTGGTTTTGACCTCACTAAGGAGGACCAGTTGAAAATAGACATGTACTGATCACATTGCATGTAATTTTCATGCTGTACATCCATGATTGATCTATGTCATTTGATTGTATTGGTATATGTGACCATTGATAAATGTGACGAAGGCCACTTTGATCCTATATTGATATAGTCAATGGACGAGATTGTTCGGAAATACCATTTCAGTGATAGCAATTTTTGAGCTCATAAGGTTATACACAATTTAAGGAATCATATGGTGCCCAAGTGGGAGATTGTTGGATTTAATCTAATAAATCTATTTGTGGGCACATATGATTAATCAATGTGTATTGCTATCTTTCAGGATAACCCACTAAAGTGATCAATTAAGTTGGGTTAATTTGGTATTTAAATAAGTCATGGGGTTATATGTGCAGATATCCGGTTGTAATTGTAATTTATTGAGGGGCTAAATTACAAAAGTACAACATCTATAAATAAGGGGTTATGGTCCCTAACCTAGGGTTACATTCTCTAATTCTCTACACCCCCATCTAGCTAGAGAAATTCGGATTTGGAGAAACCCTAAGGTTAGAAGATCATCAAAAACCCAAATCAAGTTTTCATCCATGGATTCAGGTATAAGCTTCCGCTCTTTTAGATTTTTTGTTAATCTCTTTGAATTAATCATGGCTATATGGATTTAGATCTCAAGTTTTGATTTAGATCTAACAATCAAGTGTTTCATCAGAGCAAAATTAGTAAAAATATCTCTTTGTGATCAATGAGTAAGTTGCTTTTCACTATAGTTCATTTCAACATTAAACTATGGTGTTAGCAAAAGCAAGTTCGATCAGCAAAATGAAATCATAAACATAATCATTTAATTATGTATTGAAACTTGCCTGAGAGATCATAGGCTAGTTAAGTGGTATTACATTTGCACTTCTTATTTTAACAAAAAGGTCGGTAAGTTCTAAAGTGTCAAAACTTGCAGTGAGGAAGACATTCTTAAGAGACTCGGTGATTTGATGAATGACAGTCATTATAGCTACAATGTTCTATATGAGTGCAGGTAAGTTCTATGGTTATATTAGTCCTTTAAATCTTTCATATTTTGCAAGTAGTCCCTCAAATTTTCTAGTTGTTTTGAAATTAAGTCATTGAAATTGCTATTGGATACCCCAATTCCTATAAGTTGTTTCAAATTCATCCCTAATTCCTACTTCTACTCTCTTGATTGGAGAGAGTAATTTCAAAATATGAAAGATTTAATGGAATAAATTGAGAAAACCTATATAAACTACTTGAGAGAACCCGATTTTAGTGGTGGAAAATCCTTAAGATAACCGGCTATGTTTAATTGTAACTGTTATGTTGCTTTCGCATGTGTTTTCTCTAGTTGCCCAGAGTTGGAAGAGCTTGTGAAAGTTTGTCGAGACAATGGAGCACTTGGAGTGAGACTTACTGGTGCTGGATGGGGTGGCTGTGCAGTTGCTTTAGTTAAAGAAAGTATCGTCCCTCAGTTCATTCTCAATTTAAAGGTCAGTTATTTGCGACTGCTTGTAATTTGATCCTAGAATCATATAATATTCTCTAGGATTAATTGCACATAGACCCTTTGTAGTATCGTTGATTTGAGTTGACCACGCCTAGCTCATTGTTCATTAAAATCATGAGTTCTCTCATAGAAAACATAACACTTCAAACTTGTGCAACTAAAATCCTTTTAACTATTGCAGGAGTCATTCTACCAGTCTATGATTGGGAAGGGTATCATCAACAAGAATGATCTTCATCTTTATGTCTTTGTCTCCAAGCCTTCAAGCGGCGCTGCAATATTCAAGCTTTAAGTTGAATTCTTCTCAAGCGTGATTGCCTCTATTTGATCCTAGCCTTGGGAATGAGAGAACATTTTTTTCTAATAAAAATATTTTCTGAAAAAATTATCGTTAAGCTTTTAACTATAGTTTTTGTATAGATAATAATAGAAACCATGTTACATTTGACTGCAGATAATTAACATGGGTTGGACGCAATAATTCAGTAAGATATGAAATTATTATGGATTTCTGTAAGTAGATAATTATGTATTACACAGAGACTAATATTTTATGTATTAAATCATATGTATATTTGCCAATAGAATTTTTTTGACTCATTTTTTGAATCGGAATTCTATTTCTACTTTCGAATTCTCGAAGGATTCTATTTGGACAAAAAAACTCCTAGCCAAAAGTTTGCAAAAAGCCCCCAAAAAGTTTGCAAAGGGCCCCCAAAAAGTTTGCAAAGAGCCCCCAAAAAGTTTACGAAAAGGTCCCAATAGTTTGCAAAAGGCCCCCTAAAAATTTATAAAAAACACCCCAAAAATATTATATACATAACTGCTATAGTTAAATGGACAAATGAGCGGTCCGTTTATTAAATGGGCGGGCAAAAACACGTCTATTTAGAAAATATTAAAGAGGTCATAAATGGGTAAATGAGCAAAACATGCCCGCCCATCTAATATTCAAACCCACCTATTTAACATCTCTAGCTAGATGAGTTTACATTTAAGAAACACTTATATGTCAAGTGGTTGTTTATAGTAATTTCAGCCTCAAGCAGTTGAAGGAAACAAGCAATCCACTGATTTAGTGTATGAGATTATTTTTGAAGAAGGAAACATGCTTGTCATGGAAAATAACTTGATCCAAAAGATGAACAATTAGGTTATATTTATGAAATCGATAAAAGAGAGGAAAAATTGCTTCAAGGCCCCAAAAATCAAAATGTGATATGGCCAAGCCCCATGTATTATTCCTACTGTGTATTAGCCCCGTTACACTTCCCAATATGTGTTCCAGCTCATGTTTACATTTCCCAAGAAAAAAAACAAAAATACCCAAACTACCCCTTCCCTCTTCTTCTTCTCCTTCTCTACCAATCCTTTTTTTCCCTAGAGATCACAACTCAATCCTCGCTCTCCGCATCACCTCACGGTCCACCATCTTCATCTCCGACCGCTCCCTCGCCCACCGTGCCCTCGTCCACCACGAGGCCCACTTATCCGACCGCCTCCCCGCTAGCGAGCCCAACCGCGTCGGATCCTTTTGGGCATCCTTCCCCGCCCCCGCCACCATCAGCCTCATCTCAGCCGACGGCCGCGTGAACCTCTTCGATCGTCCGATCTCGACGTCCCGTCGCATAGAGCAGCACCCCCTCCATCTCATCTGCCTCTCCGACTCCCCCTTCCTCCGCCGCAAAGTCCCCGCTCTCAAATGGGTTGGATCGGGGAGATGAAGTGGGTGAGGGTCTTGGATGTTTCCTCAAATGGGTTCGATGGGTTCGTTTCTGATTCGATCGAGAGGTTGAAGTTCCTACGGAGGTTGATTTTTTCTGGAAATGGGTTTGTTGGCGGCTTGCCCAAATCAATGAGTTTCAATGAGAGGGTGTAAATATGAGTATGTGTGGCTATATGTTTGATGAAATGACTCAAAAAACTCAATTTTTTGCTGTAATATGGAGTTTGGACATGTACTGTGACTTTGTTTTGATAATGTAATATTTCCCGAGTAAATCATGTGTGATCTGACACTATGTTTACACTTGCAGACGATTAGCTATATAGGGAGTGAATTTATCTACTATCCAACTCAATGAAGAAAATGGCGATGAGGATGAAGTCAAATGACGGTAGACGAGGCTTATCGGGTTATTGGGTTTCGGATCTGTGTCAGATGGTATATCAGACTCAGAGATAACCAGCGATCGACAGTAGAGGGTGGGGCTCGTCGCTGGAGCAGGATAGTTGGAGGGATGAGGAGGGGCAAAGGGAAGAGAGGCGGCGGCGGAGGCGGATGTGATACACTTTTGTAACGAACCGATCGCCACAACCGAGCAACTTGCAACGAACCGATCGCCGGTTGATATGAGTTATGGATGTGAAACACTTTTGTATGTATGAACTGAAATACTTTTGGGTGTATGTAATAGCTAAATACTTTTGTATGTATGTAGTAGTTGTGTATATGAACTGAAATACTTTTGTAGGGATGTGAACTATAATGCAAATGTGATATAAAATTGATGCACAAATTTATCCTATTAACTATTGAAATACTTGTATATATCATTAACTATTGAAATACTTTTGTTAGCTTGTTAAGTTACTCTGTTAGATTGTTAAGTTACATAGGTAACATGTTAACTTTTCTTAGTAGCTTGTTAAATTACACAGATAACATGTTAACTTTCGCAGGTAGATTGTTAAGTTACACATGTAACATGTTAACTTTCACAGTTAGATTGTTAAGTTACACAGATAACTTGTTAACTTTCTTTGTTAACTTGTTAAGTTACACATGTAACATGTTAACTTTCGCAGTTAGATTGTTAAGTTACATAGATAACTTGTTAACTTTCTTGGTTAACTTGTTAATTTACCCAGCTAACATGTTAACTTTATTTGTTCGCTTGTTAAGCTACTCAGATAATATAAGTATATGCCCACCTACAAAAAATGTGAATGTTGAGGATTTATATATGTCAATATCTGTGTATACTTGTCCTATTAACTATTTCAATACTTACATATGTCATTAACTATTGAAATACTTTTGTTAGCTGTGTATATTCGTCCTCAACGTTCATATACACAGCTATTGACATATATAACTATTGAAATACTTATTTATGTCATCAGTTGTGTATATTCGTCCTCAACGAATATACATAAATAAGTATTACAATAGTTAGCATGATAATTAGTTGGCTTGGAATTGGCCTGCGTTTTAGAAGAGAAGAAGAAGAATTAGCACCTATTCACACTTGAAAACATCAACAATCAAGAATTTAATAGTCAACAACCAAGACCCTCACCCACTTCATCTCCTCGATCCAACCCATTTGAGGGAGGTGGGGTTAGAGAAGCATGTTACAAATTAACGTGATATGTTACACCTTATGGATAGCACGTTACAAATTATAGTTAACATGTAAGATGTGATAGTTATCAATTTATATATAATAGTTAACATCTTAACTATAATAGTTAATATGTTAACAATAACAGTTAACATGTTAAATTACACAGATAACATGTTAACTTTCGCAGATAGATTGTTAAGTTACACATGTAACATGTTAACTTTCGCAGTTAGATTGTTAAGTTATACAGATAACTTGTTAACTTTCTTTGTTAACTTGTTAAGTTACACATGTAACATGTTAACTTTCGCAGTTAGATTGTTAAGTTACACAGATAACTTGTTAACTTTATTTGTTAACTTGTTAATTTACCCAGCTAACATGTTAACTTTATTTGTTCGCTTGTTAAGCTACTCAGATAACATAAGTATATGCCCACCTACAAAAAATGTGAATGTTGAGGGTTTATATATGTTAATATATGTGTATATTTGTCCTATTAACTATTTCAATACTTACATATGTCATTAACTATTGAAATACTTTTGTTAGCTGTGTATATTCGTCCTCAACGTTCATATACACAGCTATTGACATATATAACTATTGAAATACTTATTTATGTCATCAGCTGTTTATATTCGTCCTCAACGAATATACATAAATAAGTATTTCAATAGTTAGCATGATAATTAGTTGGCTTGGAATTAGCCTGCGTTTTAGAAGAGAAGAAGAAGAATTAGCACCTATTCACACTTGAAAACATCAACAATCAAGAATTTAATAGTCAACAACCAAGACCCTCACCCACTTCATCTCCTCGATCCAACCCATTTGAGGGAGGTGGGGTTAGAGAAGCATGTTACAAATTAACATGATATGTTACACCTTATGGATAGCACATTACAAGTTATAGTTAACATGTTGGCTTTTACATTTAACATGCGTTCATATTATAGTTAACATGTAAGCTATGATAGTTATCAGTTTATATATAATAGTTAACATGTTAACTACAATAGTTAACATGTTAACTACAATAGTTAACATGTTAACTACAATAGTTAACATGTTAACAATAACAGTTAACATATTAACTACAACGATTAACATGTTAACTACAACGGTTAACATGTTAACTACAACAGTTAACATGAAACAGGTAAATGTTCACAGTCAATCAGCTATAGTTTACATGTATTAAGTAAAACATAACAGTCTACATGAAACAGGTAAATGTTCACAGTCAATCAGCTATAGTTTACATGTATTAAGTAAAACATAACAGTCAATGTACTAAACTTAACATTTAAAAGAAAATCAGCTATAGTTTACATGTATTAAGTAAAACATAACAGTCAATGTACTAAACTTAACATTTAAAAGAAAAGCAATGATCTTGAATGAAAATGTTCTGCCATTTACTGATCAAGTAAAAGACTCATATATGAGTGAGTAATTAAAAATAGCTTTGTATATTCATTAATCTCCAGATCCATATATGAACATATAACCCCAACATTCCATAATTAAAAATAGCTTTGTATATTCATTAATCTCCAGATCCATATATGAACATATAACCCCAACATTCCTTGTACTTGATCTCCAAATAACAAAAGTATATGAACATATAACCCCAACATTCCTTGTACTTGATCTCCAAATAACAAAAGTATTCCAAGCCACAATTCCCATGCCTCCATTCTACATACATGAACCCGCATCACTTGCTTAATCCTCTGCAGTTAAAACAATAAAAGACTTTCCAGTCAAACGAATCAAAAGGATAAGCATAAGAGTGGCACTACAGGCATACCCCCAACCACACCTTGGGGCACCCCCCTCTCACAGCTACAGTGCACGAGACCCACTTTAGATTTTTAAAAAATCTAAAGTGGGCCCCGTGCACTGTAGTTGAGAGAGGGGGTGTGCCCCAAGGTATGGTTGAGGGTGTGCCTGTAGTATTTTCCTAAGTATAAATGAATTTTATAGTTATCAACCTTCTCATCGGTATAAACTTGAAACTGAAGCTTTCTGATTCTGATGCTAATGCTTCTGCAACTGGCAACCGCCGAAAATGAAAACGCACAGAGTTGCTGCAGCCACTCCAACAGAACAGAGGGCTCCAACACTGCTAATAACTCTCCATCGCCAATAAGCCTGCACTCCTTCTCCAGCTCCTCGCTATCGCAAACACTCAACCTCCTCCTCTCGCGCTGAAGCGCTTCCTCATGCTCACATTACCATCACCTACGAGCACGCACCTCATCCTTCACCCTCACCCTCACCATCCTATTCTCCGTCTTCTCGATGTCGAAGCTCCTGACGAAAGAGGAGGAGGAGACGACGGTGACGAAGGAGAGGACGGAGTGGAGGAAGTGGGAGAGGAGGATGAAGTAGGCGTGGCCCGGCTGGAGCCTGTCCGAAGCGGAGAGGGCGAGGACTTTGCGGCCGAGGAAGGGGGAGTCGGAGCGACAGATGAGGTGGATGAGGTGCTGCTCCATGCGGCGGGACATCGAGATCGGACGATTGAAGAGGTTCACACGGCCGTCAACTGAGATGAGGCTGAGGGAAGGATGCCCAAAAGGATCCGACGCGGTTGGGCTCGCTGGTGGGGAGGCAGTCGGATAAGTGGGCCCCGTGGTGGACGAGGGCACAGTGGGCGAGAGAGCGGTCGGAGATGAAGATGGTGGGCCGGGAGGTGATGCGGAGAGTGAGGATTGAGTTGTGGCCTCTAGGGGAAAAAAGGATTGGCAAAGAACGAGAAGAAGAAGAAGAAGAAGAGGGGAGGGGTAGTTTGGGTTTTTTGGTTTTTTTATTGAGAAATGTAAACATGAGCTGGAACACATCTTGGGAAGTGTAATGGGTCTAATAAACATTAGGAATAATACATGAGACTTGGGCATATCACATTTTGTTTTTTGGGGCCTTGAAGCAATTTTCCTTAAAAGAGATAAATTTTGCTAATTAAATCCACGATTTTGCTAGTAAAATTTTAAAAATGGTCTTTTTTTAAAAAAAATTCCTTACCTGTTTTGTTTGTGTGTAAAGGAACAGACCCGTGAATTTTCATTCAAGTACGCTGTGAATCCGTTCAGAGATTTGGGCTCGAAGCCTGGCCCGGGTCGACACCCGTTTTGATGTTTGCAAAATACCGGTTCAAAGAGATGCTCCCCTCAACCATAAACCTTCCGCTTTTGCCTTCTCTTTCTTCTGAGGAGCGGCATGAAGCACTTTCCCCATTTCTTTTTTTTTCTTCTAATTTCCTTTAAAAAAACATGCCCACCCATTTAATATCCAAACCCACCTATTTAACATCTCTAGCTAGATGAGTTTACATTTAAGAAACACTTATATTATATGTCAAGTGGTTGTTTATAGTAATTTCAGCCTCAAGCGGTTGAAGGGAACAAGCAATCCACCGATTTAGTGTATGAGATTATTTTTGAAGAAGGAAACATGCTTGTCATGGAAAATAAATTGATCCAAAAGATGAACAATTAGGTTATATTTATGAAATCGATAAAAGAGATAAATTTTGCTAATTAAATCCACGATTTCGCTAGTAAAATTTTAAAAACGGTCTTTTAAAAAAAAATTCCTTACCTGTTTTGTTTGTGTGTAAGGGGCCGTTTGGTTGGTTTCCTAAAAACCAAGAAAAGAAAATTGGTACAAGGAAACCAATAAAATAATATTTTTATCCATTTCCATCCCTAAAACTCACCCACAACATCCAATAAAATAATAATTTTATCCTCCAACTCATCTCATTTCATCTCATTTCTTACCTTTAAAAATAAACCAAACACAAAAAATATGTCACATCATCCAACTCATCACATCTCATCTTATCTCATTTTTAAAAATCACACACATCATCCAATAATATTGTGACAACTCATCTCATCTCATTAAACCTTCATTTCCATCCATTTCCTCAAAAAAAAAAAAGAAATTGATTTCCTTAAGTATGTGTCACATCATCCAATAATATACCTTCAACTTATCTCATCTCATCTATTTTCTTATTTTTAAAAATGAACCAAACACAAACAACCTCAAAACATCATCCAATAATATACCTCCAATTCATTTCCTTGTTTTTTTAACCAACCAAACAACCTCAAAACAAGTTTTTTTAAAAAACCACTCACATCATCCAATAATAAGGTGACAGCTCATCTCATCTCATCTCCTATTCTGTAGTTTTCTTCTTTTTTAAGCCAACCAAACAACATCAAAATAATTATTATAGGAAATAGGTTTCCTATTCTTTGATTTCCCAACTTTTTTTGCGAAACGAACAGCCCCTAAAGAAACAGACCCGTGAATTTTCATTCAAGTACGCCGTGAATCCGTTCAGAGATTTGGGCCCGAAGCCCGGCCCAGGTCGACACCCGTTTTGATGTTTGCAAAATACCGGTTCAAAGAGATGCTCCCCTCGACCATAAACCTTCCGCTTTTGCCTTCTCTTTCTTCCGAGGAGCGGTGTGAAGCACTTTCCCCATTTCTTTTTTTTCCCTTCTAATTTCCTTTAAAAAAAATTTAAATTTGAAAGCGCCTCCTACGTGGTTTGCCCTAATTAGAAGAGATCGATGATGGTGATCCCTCTTCTTCTCTTTATTTAATTCGATGATATAGCAGAAATAAGCAAACAGGAGGAAAAGATTAACACAGATAAATCTCGATGGCGATGATGGCCAGCTCTTCATCGCAGCAGCAGCAACAAAATCTTCAGAGTCTAAATCCAAACCGCGGCGGCGGCGGCGGCGAAGAGGACAAAGGGGAGAAGATTGTGGCCGACCGTTATTTGAAGAGGGAGCTCCTCGGTGAAGGAACCTATGGCGTCGTCTTCAAAGCCCTAGATACCAAGGTCAGCAAACCCTAATTTTTAACGTTACGCGCTATCAGCTCCAATTCGCTCTCTTTCTCTCAAATTAGGGTTTCTTTTGTTTTTTCCCGACTTAGCTTCAGATTGTTCTATTCCAAGTTGATCTTTGGATCGGCTAAGGTGGATGGATGGTTTCTCAAAGTGAATCTTTACTTGATTTCTGTAGATTCTCATACTGATGATAGTACGTGCGTCGACCAAATTTGCGATTGCGACAAATGTGCAAACACTTGGCGTTCATCATGACCATTGTATCATGACTTATATAGACTTTCTACTGGCGATAGTCAAGTGCTGTTTTTTTTTTTCCATTTTAGATGCCGACTTCAAATGGGCTCACTGTTTTTTTTTTCTGCTTGAATTCCTGAGATTGTAAACATTATAAAGGAAAGGTCTTGTGTCAAATGGAGTTAGTTTAGGCAAAAATAATCTGTTAATTTAATAGAAGATGGTCTTTAAATGCTTCTGGGGTGCTAGCGAAGAGTCTGACACAAGAACAGAAGTAAGAAAATACACGCATAGGAACAGGACAAATAGTTTGAACAAAGTGCACACATTACGTAGATCTACTAATAAACTTATACCTTGTTATAGAATTGCATAGATTAGTTCACCTAAAGTGTCGGCTTTTTTTTAATATAAAGAATTTACAGTGTGAAATGAAGCTTAATGGACAGATAATACGTCTTGCATATCCAAGAGTTGCATTACTTAGCTTATAATGCCATGTTTTTGTTCGGGTTTGACCTTACAATGATACTGTTTCTGTTTCGTTTACCTCTTACCGCTTTGCTCTTACGATCCTAATTATCTAAGTGGCCATAATTTGTGTTAGACGTTTTCAGACAGGACAGACAGTTGCAATTAAGAAGATTCGTCTGGGGAAGCACAAGGAAGGTGTAAATTTTACTGCTCTGAGGGAAATTAAACTCCTCAAGGAGCTCAAGGATCCAAATATTATCGAGCTAATTGATGCTTTTCCTCACAAGGGTAACTTGCATCTTGTATTTGAGTTCATGGAGACCGATTTGGAAGCTGTTATTCGTGATCGGAATATTCTGCTGTCTCCAGCTGATATTAAATCTTACATGCAAATGACACTGAAAGGGCTTGCAGTTTGCCATAAAAAGTGGGTTTTGCACAGGTATTAGCTTCTTTTCTATCACCTTCTGATATTAGACCCCTTATCTGCTGGAAATTAAGTCATATGAGATTGTGTAACAGGGATATGAAGCCTAACAACTTGCTGATTTCTGCGGATGGCCAACTGAAGCTTGGTGACTTTGGTCTGGCACGCATTTTTGGCAGTCCAGATCGCAAATTTACTCACCAGGTGTCTTTCTGGTTGTGCAGTTCATATGCGACTTTCTTTAAGATTCTGTACCTTACAAAATCACAGGCAAAGAAGAGACGTACAGAAATTTTGTTAACATTTTTAGATTGCTTGCACATATCGTCTTTTTATAAGATTAAAGGGCTTCCGGGTGTACAAAGCTCCTTACTTAAGACAACAAGGCCTGTTGCAACTTCGTTCTTAATGTTCTTTTTTTAATCCTTCTGTTAAAGAAAAAATTGTGTTTGGGTGTGTCAGTGGCTGGGGTTGGGTAGGCCCCATGATGGCCTCCCAAAATTATCAGTGCTCAAGACATATCCGTTCGTGGTTCAATATTGTAAACTCATGAGTTTTCTTCTCTTTTAATTCTTTAACCTTTTGACTTGTCTATTTTCAGGTTCACACTTGACATTGTGTGCGGGTTGGATTATTATGAGCATAACTATGAGACTATTACTGATCATCTTTGACTTTCTTCTCTCAGGTCTTTGCTCGCTGGTATAGAGCACCTGAATTATTATTCGGCAGCAAGCAGTATGGTCCCGGAGTGGATGTGTGGGCTGCAGGCTGCATATTTGCTGAACTCCTTCTAAGGCGGCCATTTCTGCAGGTTAGACTTGCATAGTTAAATTATCTTTCTAAACAGTAGCCCTATATCTGTTAATAGATTTTGCTCTGAAAGTAGACATATGTACTTACTAAATTGGCTCTTTAACTTGAAGAATGGATGAAGTTAATTTCATGGCGGAGAATTCCGTGGATGAGTCACTTTGTACATACTGCTCTGCACACCTCAATTAATCTAAGAATGTGAAATGAAGCAGTTGGAGAGTGTCTTATCTATCCACCACTCAGTACATGTCACATAGCCAAAATAACATTGGACACCACTTGGTTAGGTTGTAAAGAATGCAAATGAATTGAAGTTTCATTTTTAAATTAATTAGCATGTGTATTCCAAGATTAATTCTTGGGATCTTCCATTGAATGAACAATCATAGAACTCTCATGACTACTAAGGGTGGTTCTTGAAGGATCATGGGTTCATATTTACTCTCCTTTATTGTGCGTCTTCTTTGATCTCTCATCTCTCAAATGTAACTATCAACAATAAAAAGTATTTATTAACACTCCATGTTTAGATTGATTGCAGTCTCATCTTTTATTATGACTATATCAAACTGTTAGTTCTAGGATTTCTTTAAATTCCAATAGTCTACTATACTATTACCTGTATCTGACCCGCTAAATTTGCAGATAACTAGTGTTTGCCTTTGACCTATACTTAGCCTCTGAGGGAGGATTTTAACCATACAAGTAGTTTTGTAAGTTCAGCTCAGGAGTCACCCTTTAAACAAGATAATTTGAAGATCATGGAGCTGTGATCTGAAAAAAAGGAGATTTTCGTGTTGTTGCCATTCTACTTTACATTTTTTCATTCATTCATTATTTGGCCATGTATCTTAGAAAGGAGATTATGAGTATCAGCAAAGTTTGATTTATTTGCAGCTCGATATTATGTACATTGTTTAGGCAGTGAGCTTGTTGAGAAAATAGAAAAGGCAAAGATTCGTTATTTATCTAACCCCTAACATCTCTTAAATAGAGATTAGGAGGATATTATAAAATAGATATGAGATAAAATTATATCTAATCATATCTCATAATATCTCAACAAAATCTCATAATATCTACTAAATCTACTAATGCCAAATTATCAATGATATCTAACGTTTCCCCTCAAGCTGGAGCATATATTACTATATATTTCTACCTTGTTACAAATCGAAGTAAAGCAACTAGTTGCAAGAGCTTTGACAATGTCATATTTATCCAGAATACTTGAAGACGTCGTCAATTAGAAAAGTGTAGTCACTAGTCACAGCTAGTAGAAAGTTAGAAACCCTAGGCGGGTCAGCTAGTAGAGAGAAACCCTAGGCAGGTAAGCTAGTAGAAGTAACGTTGGAATTAACTACATACTTCTGCATTCAAACAAAGGGTGATACTCTTCATTGATGGTTGCTTTCCTTTGAGGTTAGAGTTTCTAGAGGTATGCTTTTTTTATTGAGGTTTAACAAAGATTTAGTAAACAAATGATGTAGAAATCAAAGGTATGGCCAAACCTACCATAGATGTTGTCATAGCCGTTGAGGGAAGCATAAAGGCCATGCAAAACCATCTTAATGGCCTCGAGAACTCGAAAGATTGGAGAAGTTGCTAGGATCGAGTAGGCTCTGGCTCCATATAGAGAAATAGAAAGGCCAAAGTTATTATTCATCAAACCATAACCTCTTATTAGGAGGATATTGCAAAATAGGTATGATATAAAATCTTATCTAATCACATCTCACAATATCTCATAATATTTACTAAATCTACTAATACCTAATTATCAATAATGTCTAACAGAGCCAACAGTTGACAGATCTCTTTAAGTGACTATACTGTGTAATAGATTGCATTAGGGCCTGTTTGGTTCAATAGAGGGTAGGAATAGGATTAGTAATACTATTTTTTTATGGATTCCAACCTAATCTATAAAAAATTTCTAGACAAGTTTGTAGTTTTATGGAATCCTATTTTTTTGCATTCTATGTTTGTTTCACCCAATGGAAAAATAGAATCTCACATTTATAGAAACCATACAATTCCTAATATCTAGTTTGGTTCAGAATGATAATTTTTAGGGATCAACACTGTAATAACGGCTAGTTCCACCGAAAGCTCCACCTGAAAGCCAAAACCCCAAGCAACAGACAAAAACAAGATCAAGCTCAACAAATGTGTTCAACAAACCCAAGTGAAGGACCTGCACAAGCTCAAAATCCTGCTGGCAGCTCAAAACCGAAAGGCAAGGAGCTACACAAGCTCGAAATAACAGCCAAAACCCCACAAAGCCAAGGAGCTACACAAGCTCAAAACAAAACAGCAACAAATCCATAGGCAAGAAGCTACACAAGCTCCACATAACAGCCAAACCCCACAAAGCCAATGAGCTACACAAGCTCAAAATAGAACAACAACAAACCCAAGCAACAGGTGCTGCACAAGCACCATAGCAACAGAGCACCAAAGTCATAGCCAGCAGGATGTGCTCAACTTTGAGCTTCAAAACCGACAGCATTAAAACCAAGCAACAGAGCAACATAGCCAAAGGAACTGAGCAACAGAATGTAAAAGCCGACATCAGTAAACCCAAGCAACAGAGCTCCTTTACCTGAGCTCAACAAAAGGCATTCATTGCTGATTATTCATTTGAACCACACTTATCAAGCTTTCAATCATTTGTAGTCGAATATCCCAATATCATAAAATGTTTATTCAAGAAACAGACAGAAACGTGAATTCCCTCCTTACCTGATAATCAAAATCAAACAAAATAATTGCATTATTATCAGCTAAAATGCAAGTAAGTGTGGTCCCCGAGGAAAACCCAAAAGAGATTCGCTATTTTTTGATATCAGAGACAAAATTCAATATTAAAACTACAAATGAAACAAAATTAGGAACCAAAGGCCATAACCACCCATGCAACCTTAATTTGATCAACTGCAGCTTGTTTTGTCCTAAATTAGTAACAATTTTCAACAATTTTCCCAGTATCATATTTCTAGCTGGATTTTTCCTAAATCTAAAGACACAAAAAGATCTATAAATCGCTAGATCCAAGAAAAAGCACAAAAATAGGAAGAAGGGAAAACAAAAGATGATGAAGATGAGATCATACTCTTTCCTGAGCGGGAAATCTCGCATCCGCCAATCCAATCGTCGCCACGGCGACGCTGATCGAAGCACCGCCGCCTCCGCTGCTGCTTCCAGCGCCATTTCCCGTCATTTTTGCCCCCAATCTACCTTCACATCCTCCGCCTCTCGCCGAGAGATGGCCTCAGATCCCTCGAATCGACAGCGAAAAAAGCTCGGACCCGAAACTGGAGGCAGAGATTCAGCAGCGGAGAAGAGAAGCGAAGAAGAGGCATGAAGAAGAGAGAGCTGAGGCGGGAGAAGAACAGCGGGAGAGAGCTGAGGCGGAAGATTAGGAATCGGAATAAGAAAGAGGAGCGTTGTCAGCTTTTTGGCCCAATTCCTCTCAAACGGATAGGATTTGGGTTTCCACAAATATGCACTGTTTTGAGTACTTTATAGATTAGCAAATCTGTAAATTTTTTTTGAACCAAACTCAAAATTAGGATTCATTTGGAATCCTTTAATTACGAAATTGCCACTGTCAGGTTCAAATATCATTCCTATTCCATAAAATTGGTGAAACAAACAGGCCCTTAGCATCTGTTTCAAGCTCAATCGACAACAATGAAGTAGACTAGCACGAGCAGTGCATAGTAGGTCTAACTGTAAATGCTGTTGCTTGTGTGCTATAGGCTGAGTGTAGTTTTGAGAGGAGTATTAGTTAGATTATGGTTAGAAAGTCTTTTTTTCTTTGGGAAAAGAATATCATCTTGTTAAGTTGAACATGATATGCTCTCTAAAAGCATTGAGCTTAATGTTCTAAGCCCTAAGACCTAGCATGGCTTCCTGGGTATTGAGGAACTTTTAGTGGTTAGATGCATAATTGCAGGAACTATATAACACACAACTTTGTAGTTTCTTGAGGATGTTGTCATACCTTTTTTCAAACAGAACTATTGTTTGTGCAATAAGTCCCTTTACATTTGAGTGCAACGGTGTATGATTACTTTTTGAAGTCGTGATACTTGTAGGCAGAATGTCAAAGTCACTTTGCAGATTTTCTTGTTAAAATCTGGACCTAGTATTGTGAACTTTACATATCAAAATTACCAGCTTTATTTTTTGTTTTTCTGATGTATACTGTACCACTCCCTTAAATAGTTCTCCACAACTTTTATGTTGTTGAATAGCCATCACATATTAGAGTACACAACAGGTTTTGCATTCCACATTTCTTCACACGTGAAACCTGGTAGTTGAGTAATTGGTGCTTCTTTTCATACTACATAATCTATTTTATCAGTGGTATATCTTTGTCAACTTTATTCCCTTAAGAATGTAAATTTTCAGAAGGCTATTGGTCTCGTGTTGTTGAGTATAAATCTCTGTAGCAATTAACTTGTACTTTTATTGGTCCTTTGTTGCTTTATTAATGTATATTTCAAGTATTAGATAGATGGGTCGAATGCATCCTATGTTAAAGCATAAAAGAAAAAAACTCGTTCCCTCCACTATAAGGGGAAATCTATAAGCTTTTAGATTCTAATTGGCATGTGCTAATGGAAATTGATATCTGTTTGGCAGGGTTCAAGTGACATCGACCAGCTTGGGAAGATCTTTGCAGCTTTTGGGACACCAAAGCCATCTCAATGGGCTGACATGGTTTACCTTCCAGATTATGTCGAATATCAGCATGTTCCTGCACCTTCATTACGCTCCCTGTTTACAGCTAGTGATGATGCTTTAGACCTTTTATCAAGGATGTTCACCTATGATCCAAAAGCAAGGATCTCTGCCCAACAGGCTCTTGAGCACAGGTACATTTAGTGATAGCCATTGTTATAGTTGGATGCTAGCATTTCCTCTTTGATGCAATATTTTCTGTCAATCAGGTATTTTTCTTCCCAACCACTACCAACAATACCGGAAAAGCTCCCAAGGCCACACCGGAAGGGAGATTCATTAAATCACTATCCTTCAGACTTTGTTTCACAAGACGCTCCTCTTGTTTTATCTCCATCGAGAAAAATGAGGAGGGTGACACCCCATCATGGGGCATTTGAAGGAAATGCACATGAAAAGGCTGGTCATGCGAGGGACAGTAGACATGTAGGCGAGAGTACTGGGCCGAGTGGAAATATCCTAATGTCAATAGATTTCGAAGCCCTTCATGGCTCACGACCCCCTCCAAGGCCAACTCTAAATAGGTAACACTGAATATCTTTGTTGAATGTTTCCCTCCTTTCTCATTTATTACCTTAAATGATGTTGGGGAACCTAAAACAATCCCAAGTGTTGATGCTATTTTTGGCGCTGCGTTTATCTTCTAAGCATTCTCATAGTAATGGGATCCTATTGCATGAGAGACTTTAAGCATTCTATGAACTGTTTAACACAACAATTTTCTGGGTTGCTGCCAATTTTTTTGAATATCGCTATGAACAAATGAGGATCCTGCAAGGACTAGGGAATTAGTTCTTGTTTAATGTTTTGCTAACAAGAAACTAATTCATCCTCGACAACAAACCAAAGAACTAAATGATCTGGTCCCTGTAGTGGGGCCCTAATTGTGTACTTCACCCATGTCTAATGCTGAAGAAATTACCTTTTGCAGTGCCGATAGGTCTCACCTCAAGAGAAAACTTGATTTGGATCCTGACTTCGGATATTCTCACTGAGAGGAGCGTGGCTTATGGATTTTTATTGGCCTACTGGTCTGGACAAAGGGAAAACACTTATTCATTGATAACGCGTGCTATGATTTTATTTTCCACATGCAATCACCATGATCAAAGTAGAGACCAGCCCTGGTTGTTGGGGTATAGAGGGTTTCGTTTACACTTTTGACTGGCATACTCAAATGAGCTACACAAGAAATACAAATGCGTGTTGTAAACTACAAAATTAGGACTAAAACCTTCTTTTGTTCATTTTTGAGGGGAATTTGAACTTGTAATTTAATTTGTTCCTTCTCTACTTGTCCTCCAGGGCAGCGTGTGATAATTAATTTTTGAACCCAGAGTTCCTTTTGAAATTGAGACAGGAGTGATGTATAACTAACAGTCAAGGATATAGTTGTGAGTTTTAGTTTTGGCAATACGCCGTATGGTTAATGATAAACATATACCTTGAGTTGCTCTTGTACTGCTGTGAGATTTTTCGTTCTAGTGTTGGGAACCACATAGCTCTTGAGTTGTTATTTATTACTGTCATTTATAGCAGCTGAATTATTGAATTGCGGATTTCTGTCATGGTCTTAATTTATCCAAGGGAGATAATTCCTGGACCATATCGATGATCGCGCCATCGTCGCATATTCTTAAGAAAAGAAACTATCTTTAAGTGGAAGGTTGTTTTGTAGAAAGTTTGTCGCCGCTAGGTGCTGCGATTTTAAATGAGAGGTTGTCCAGAGAACATAATTCGTTCGATATGTATGCTTACTGAGGGTCATTTTTCTGCATATTTTGGAGGATATGATAATAAGAGATCAAATTGTTAGTTCAACTAATGTGGATAACAAGCTTGCTATGTCACTTCACGGTAACTAACCAACCCAATCACGCATGTCACGTAATGATTGCACGTCTTCTACGTCGTACAAATTTCATCAGCCACGTTAAATCAAAAACTGAAGACAAAAATGATGGATTATGAACTTAACAACAAAATTGTGCGTAGTACATTTATATACCTTTTTCTTCCCCGGGGCGAAAAATAAAAAATAAAAATAAAAAAAAGGTAGCAAGCTACTAAACATTTCTGAGAGCGAGACATCATATGGTTTGAGCTGCTGGGGGCTACGATCGACAGGAATTAATGCAGAGAATTTGTCATGTACGCGACGGCACTCTTTACCCGTTACTTGTTATGCAGCGGATCTGGGCATGCCGGTACTACTCTTTTGGTGGCGGTGAAGGGGTTCTCCCGATCGAAATTCGAACCTGCATTCCTCTCCAAACTTTCTGCTTTCAGACGGGAAGGATGTGGCGAGAGGAGTCCAGACTCCAGAGCTGACATGTTATAAAGCATGACAACCATCGCCAGTAAATAAAGAAGCCCATATCTCTTCTCTAGTATCACCACCATCTCCCTGGTAACGGAAAATTTGGGAGGAAAAGGGTGCTTTTGTTTTGATAACCTGTATTTGATCGGATCATATCAATGTTTTCATCAACGGGGGGCTTCCAAAGTTTATGTACAAGGTAGACGTAGATATAGATACAGGCATACAGCTACAGATTCAATAATGTTGCTCAATTAATTGAGTAGTTGAAGCTGCGGGGGGAGTTTAGACTTGCATATTTAGGTGAATTGTTACTATTATTATTATTATTATTATTGTTTTGATAATGAGTTAATTTAGAAGGGGACACGTGAAATATGGAAATGGGTCTTGATACGATGAATGTTGTCACCGGATAGTGCTTACTGGTCGGGCTCTGACGGCACACAACTATAACCATTCTTTTTTTTTTTTTTGCCCCCTTCGCAAACAAAAAAGAAAATTTAATTGCGGTCTGTAGTGCTGCCGCTTGAAGCTTACTACCTTTTGGTTTTTTCGCTTTTGCCGATGGATCCGCTGAGTGAATTAAAAAAATAAAACAAAATAAAAACTCTACTCTCAGGTGAGAATTGTTTTTCTGGGTAAATACGTCGGCAAAAGGCACGTGCCAGTTTGAATCTGGATGTTGTTGGATTACCGAATTAATTGCAAACCCTTGATCCAAACATCCAGCCACCGCGAGGACACCAGCTCACCGGTTGTTCCTTCTCATTTATTATATAGCGCACAACTCGAGCACACAGTCGTGATCTAATGAACCCGAAAAACAATACTAAATATTTCTTAATGTGGTCCCCAAATTCAGAATCAAATAAAAAAGGATTACTAACAAATGGGTTATCTTAATGTTGATATGGGAGACAGCTCACAAGTTAATTAGCCATATGGCTTCTACAACATCACAATTCAAAATGGGCAACAATTTTCTACATCCTGTAGGAATTTGCAACTCGATAGGAACGAAGGAGAAAGAACATTACATGGGATGATAGCAAACAGCCCAACAGGCCTTCTCACGCTCTAAATAACCTTTTCCATGGGTTCTCAGATACGCTCCTCTCTTAGGTAAAACTCCGACCCTTGTATCACAAAGGATATGCCAAACGAACCGTGCTCACCATAGAATCCTAATTCGTTTGAAGGTTTGATGAAACTAGCTTTCCTATATAGCTGAAAGGTGAAGAAAATAACCCCAGAAATCTTGAGCTGAGTTTTACTCAAAAAGGATAAGCTCAAAGTTCAGAAAGATCTTTTTTTTTTCTTTCTTCCGGTATCGACCAGTCTCATCCATGCTCCCCCAAGAAAAAACAGCAGCAGTAACTTGCCAGAAAGGTCACAAAACTGTACAGACCCCAGCATTTTTGTGTTAGTTTACATGAAGTAGACAGTGGATGATCAGGTCCGAGAATTCCTTTGGTTAGGTAGAAGAGCTTTAGAAAAGTAACTGCGAATCTCTGGGATAATACGTGGGATCAAAAGAGAATGCCTGCAAAACATACCATCAGGAAAAATATTTCACCAATTGAAAAGGAAAGCTAAAAGCAAGAGATTTCACAAAAACAGTTCAACAGGGCAGATATTTCATCATTTGGAAAGGAAAGTTTAAGATGCAAGAGATGTTTTACCGGATTGAAGCACCTATGTAAAGATTTTGGAGAAAAAATTGTGCAAAAAGCAATGCTACCACAAAAACATAAACCAGTAACCTTAAAATACAATATATGATTTTGCCTAATAATTATTAGCTTGAGCTTCTCTCCACCACCCAACTAAAAATTAGACCTGCTAACATGCTACATTTGTGAGATACTCTCTAGGTTTTTGGATGTTTCTTACAGTACGAAATTGGCAGTTCACTATAGTAAACATATAATGTTTTTTTAATATAACCTCAATCTCTCATCCCCTCTCCTACAGGACTCACTCGCTACCTTGTGATCCTACCACTTATCTCATGAGGTCATGATTCACATGCATTGCCAATTTCCTACTTCTGTCCCTACATAAAATATGAAAGAAAGGTATATGAGACCTTTGGTATAAGCAGTATGACTTACGAAAGCCAAGCTAGTAGTCCTTCTAACATCCTCCGGTACCATATGTTTTATCATTTACGAATACTCTTACATCAAACTACTTGTCAAGATATAGACATGTGAAAGCACATCAGACATGTAAATCTTGGACACCATATAACATAGGAGTTTTGATGCCGGTTAAATACATAACAGAAATTATTCTGTAATCAATTTTATTTCAATCATACTATCAGCCCTTCAAACCATGACATACAATTTATACTTGCATAAATAGGATATCCCCACTAGAGCAGAAGCAAGCAGCAAACCTACGAACTGTATGCTTGAGAGTTTATTTGAAGCCATGCATTTTCCATTAATAGCTCTGGCAGGAGGGAGGAGGCCATTAAGGTTTAGGGAAGATATTTAGTAGTTTCTCTTAAATCTACGTGTAAATTTACCAGGGCTTATCAGTTGAGGTAAACTGTAAATATGCATGGCATGATAAGAGCTTTGTGGTTTGTGGCATTCTGCATTTTAAAAGGTTAATAATGGAACCATGAAAGTGACCCAATACCATGTCTGATCTTTAAAGAAACGTGAAGATGGATACAAGGAATGAAAGGAGACCCTGACCTAGCATTTATCTTGTCAAATTGCTCCAAGACGAATAGAACACAAGTTTGCCTTAGAGACATCGCATGGTATGCTTCTGATAATTCATACATGCTGGAGATGTTTTCAAGATTAACATCCTGGACACAAATAAGAAGTTTTAAGTTAAAGAGCAAGAAATATAACTAGAATTCAATTTTAATCCGTTATTCAAAGATGTAACACATTTTACAGTCACCTGAGCAATCGCATATTCACATAATCGCTTCAGACCTTCTAAGAGATACTGGTCTGCTGCTCTCAGGAGATCTTGTGCAATAGTCATAGTTACTTCAACAGATCCTGTGTATATGAATCTGACGACAAGATAAAAAGTATAATGTCAATCCTAATTATAGTCATACCTCACAAGTTTGGAGTGCAAAAGTACCATAGCAAGGATTACGAGTTTGGAATTTGGTTAAGATAAAGAAAATTTTGGAAGTATTTGGCAAAAATAAGAGACAATGAAATAGGCATGTATGCATCGTATAGTAATATTTATCGATGATTTACATACAATACAATACAACTAAGCCATAAATTTAGCTACGAAACCCTAAGTTATGCATAGGGTATAGCCCTCACTAGGGTAGCATACAATTCGAATACGGCTCAGATATGGTACTTACCATATCCATATCTGCTTACCAACCACAGATTCAGATACCGATATGCCTCGGCGAGTAAAATTCATATCCTATCTGCTAAAATCAAACACATATATGGATATCCACGCGGATATATAAGCTATACATGCCGATAGAATACAAATATGAGAACCAAATAACATTGAAAAAGAATATAGTGCATATGACACAAGATAGCTCATTAATATGTTCGTTATATCTATAAAGCTAAGAATAAGTCTTTTGATAATCAAAATTTACCTCAAATCCATTATTCTAAGGATTCAAACTATTGCAACAGTATGACCAACATATATTTGGATAATTCGGACACGGATCCATATCCTATGGATATAGATTCTAGTAACCATATCCACATCCTAATGGATACAGACATAGATATTTCCTTAGATACATATATTTTTTGTGCACCCCTAGCCCTCACAATGTAAGTAATCAAATCAAGCGTAAAATCCAGAAATGATTAGATAATACCAATTATGTAGAATTTTTAAGTTAAACTGAGCTATATCATAATCAAGTAAAATGTGAATTCAGTTGCCCATACAGTTGTTTGTGAAAATTTCAAGAAATATGCAAATTTATGTACCAACATTGACTGTTAAGACAACCATGAACATAAAAGAGTGTATACAAACCTCATCATCAACTCGAACACCTCCCATCGGATGTTTGGGATCTCAATATCTCTTGCTTCCTTTTCCTGTTAAGGGTTCCAAGTGACAGTTATTTACATATGTTTTTATTGATATTCAAAGAAAAATGAGTTACCAACAGCAGATATTTAAATTATTTTCTTCAACTTGTTATGTTCCACAAATGGATCTGAGGATTATCAAGTACAAATTATTATCAATGAAGAGCATACATCACCTGAGTCTTCTCTTGAGATTAAGTTAATAGGTAGTTACACACATTAGTGAACACTAAAGTGCAACTTATTATGTCACATAAAACGTCTACATTTCCTGTATATGTACGATATCAAATAGAGAAATATTTCAGAAATCTAATAAAAGTGACATGTGATAGAATACAACGTCAAACAGCATCGACAATTTTTTTTTTTAAAGCATGCGTTACAAATATCAATGAATAAACAATTACGATGGCAATACAATCATCTTTTACCTCAAGCCAGATAACAGTGAAAGTTCATACACTTCATTCTCTTCATAGAAGCTTATTCCTTTCTTTGTCCTATGCGTGCACACGCGTGAACTACCACACACAAAAACACTGTGGGAATGGTGGGTTGGTGTTTTAACGTTTCGTCTTTTTTATTTTGTATGCGTGTCTGTGAGAGCTTATCCTGTGTAAATTATGTACATATATTTTCCCTATGAATAATGTCTTCTCAATAGGATCAACTAGGAGAGAACTTATTTGGGGGGGGGAGGGGGGGTTATTGGTTGGGAGAAAATTGGGGCCAAGTGGGAAAATTGTTCCCATGGAACAATTTTACCCCTTTGGGTATTTTGAGTGGGGTAAAGTGGGATAAAGTGGGATAATGGGATAATTTGAGCCTTTGATTGACAATTCATGTGGGATAATTGATGATGTGACACCCTTATTAAAATATAATTTTATCTATTAATTACTTCTAAATTAACTTATCCAAATGTTTAGTATATTATTTAATTATTATTATAATATAAATATTATTTTACTTTATATTAAAATATAATATATGTACTATACTTACAAATTACTATTATTAATATATATTGTTTGTATTATATTATATTATTAGCATGCTATACTATATATAATAATTAATATAATATATATAATATTTAATATAATATTTAATATAATACATTATTATTTATACAAAAATATAATATGTTATACAATAATTACTAATTAACATTATATTAGTATGCTACATTATATAATAATTGATATAATATAATGAATAATATATATAATATAATACTTTAATAATATATATTTAATTTAATATATTATAATATAGTACAAGGATATAATGACTTTATAAATATTATAATATTTTACTTTATTCAATGTAATAATTTTAAAATTTTATATTAAAATTAAAATATAATATATATATATATATTATATATTACATGATATTACAATAATATATATTAAAGTATCATGTTATAGTTATAATATATTATATTATTTCAAACTATTATTATATTATATTATATCATAATATTTTAACTATAATTAGTAATTATTATATTATATTATAATAGTATGCTCATATATAATAACTACAAATAATATTTTATAATTAATTATATATAATATAATATAATAATATAAGTTATTAAATATTATATAATATTATAATAAATACGTTATACTATAATTACTAATTAATATTATATAATAATATATTACATAATACTATTAATATATATTATTATATAATATTATTAATATATGTTATTGCAATATTATATAACATTATAATAAATACGTTATACTATAATTACTATTATATAATATTATTAATATATGTTATTAAATTATGTCATTAAAATATTAATATATGTTATATTTTATATATCATGTCATATATTTATAATATAATTAGCATGTATTAGTTAAGTAATACAAAAATATTTTAAAATTATCCCAATTGTCTTCAAAGTGGAACAACATTTTTCCAATATGGAGGATGGGGTAAATTTTTACTATTAGGACAAATTTTTTGTATATGAGTGGGGTAATTTTATCCCAAGTGGTGTAATTGTCTCACTAATGTTCCAAAAAACCAATAACACAAAAAGGTATTATCCTTGTTCCATTGTCCCAATGAATAACACTATGAAATAGAATCCCCAAAATTATCTCATTATCCCCTAAAATATCCCAACCAATAACCCCCCCCTAAGGGACAGGATTTTACTTTTTCAGACAAATCTACCAGATATATTCTCTTAAAAGCAATACAAGCATTGAAATCACATGGATGATTAGGTTGTGTATACTTGTTTTAATTAGAAAAACAATGCCGAGCACTAATAGGTTCATCATTCGCTGTTAATCACAGTCATGAAGGTTCACAATCTTTAAGATATCATAACAAGAATTGATTTTAAAAAATCAACTCACCCTGTATCCACCATCAAACATGGCACGAAATGCATCTGAAGAAGCAAGTAAAGCAATCCTATGTGCATAAAACCGTCTACCTGAAAAAGAAAGGGAAGCATGTTGGATAACCTGCATTTTTACGATCATGAACACTTTTATCCTAAGCAACAAAGCTCATGTTACGATAATTCGAGATCTTGACTACATAAACAATACCAAATATTCAATTATTTAGAGAAAGAGATAATTACAACCTTCAACTAGAAAGACAACATCGGATAGCGTGGAACTATTCACATACTGTTCACCAAGATAAACCTGCAATTATGAATGTTTATCAAACAAGCGCAGGAAGTAAAGGTGTAGGAAAAAAATCCAATCAACATAAAAGGATAGGCTCCTATTGAAGGATTTTACAATTGTAAAGAACAAGAATAAGATCATTCAGATCTGCAATGGATGTTACAGCTTTGACAATCTAATTCTACCCTTGGATGATTCTTTCAACATTTTCCAAAAAATACAAACCTGTGGTGTTGGAGAAGGAGGAGCTGTGTCCATAGGAGAGAGTGTCATGGCTTTGTTCGCCAACTTACACAGTGCAACAGAACCATCTTGCTGTTGTTTCGTATTTGTAGAGGCAAGAAGACCCAGAAGCAAGTCAAGCCCTGCATGAAACAGATATTATTCTGTCCATTAAACATAACCTATCGTGATGTGAATTTTCTGTTATAAATAAGCTCATGCATGCCTTTTTTGTGAATATAAAATGATAATCTGCATGATGATATGTTCCTCATGAGCCATATAAAGAACCAAATATATGTTTTAGGCCCATAAACGCACAGACTGTACACTAAATTATACCTTTTTTCATGACTACGCAACTAAAAGTGAATATATTGGCCATAATAGGAACTTAAAAGAGATTTGATCATAAATTGAAGCAGGGGTCACAAGATCCTTCCTTGTTTCTTTAAAGATTGTAGCACCACAACCAACAGATAATACAAACATGCATCACGCACTATCTTAAGTCTTAACAAAGAACAATGAATTCTTATGAGCTGACATAAAGCCAAATTCACTTACATTTTTATCATGTAACCTGAATATTGCTTGCTACACAAAGCTAATTGTGAACAGTGGCTTATCTTTTAATGTTTCAATCTTAGCGATCATAATAAATATTGAACAATTCTAAACTATGTGCTAAAAACTTAAGTATATAAGAACTCATTAATGCAGTTACAGATGCATCGACCAATTTTACAATACATACACTGAAATAATAAATCAAATTCAATTTACAATAGCCACAAAGGATGGAATATATATCTAAGAATGTCCTTATTCTGAAGAGCAGCAAAGTTTGTATTCTTTTTTATTTTTTGGGGTTTGTTGGGGGTTG